ATATTTATTTATTTTAAAAAATAATTATTTATTAATTTATTTGATTATTTTATTTTTGTGCATGTATTGTTTATTATTTATTATTCCTTATCCTTACTTTCACTCTGTGAAAGGTATAATGAAAATTTCACTCTGTGAAAGGTATAATGAAAAAAAGATATAATGGTATAATATCTCAAAAATGTTCAACATATCTTATGTTTATTGAAAAACGTATCCTAAAATCTTTAATAACATCCTCTGAAAAAAATAATATAAAAGGGTAATATATGAGAAGTGGATTAGGCCTAATGGGGAAACCACTATAAAAAAAACGCATCATACTATCTACCGCAAGGTGATGTGGAAATGATAGTGTTTTCAAACTGTCATTTTCTTGATATAGAAAAGATAAAAGAAAATTATTTTTTAATATATGATTTTACGTTACAAGCTACTCACATGATCATTTATTTTTAATATAAGTGATTACTCATTTTGACTACTTATGTATATATTTTTTTTAATAATGTCAAATGCTGATAGCGCGTGCGTAGCGCGCGCCTGTATTGTTCTAGTTTATAAAGAAAAGAGGACCGCCGATAAAATCGGCGGGGGGGGTGTGGAGGGCCTCTCTAACTCGTTTGTACTAATTACTAATAACTATATATTTAGTAAGAACGGGCTAAGTTAACATAAAGAAAACAACTTCCTAATTCCATTTTTATACAGACACGTATTATAATTAAAACAAAATTCGTGAAATTAATTTGTTTGAATATTTGATTTGAAGTTTCTTAAAAGTCAGCAATTTTCATTTCTCTATTAGAAGATATACAAAATTTAAAATTTTATTTTTGATAACTCATTAATAAATTTTGTATTAGTATTTTTCTATTTTCTCATATACATATATACATTTCTTTTCAAGAATAGATGATCTGAGAATCACTCTGTTCTGCAGCCATTGAAAAGCCTTGTCGACCGATAAAATATCGGCCTAGTGGTTGCAGTGTTCAACAGAGAATGCCGCTTTGCAATTATTATAAAATTCGTGTTTTGTGTGCACCAGTTCGTATTTTTTCCTTTTTTCTCTAGAAGAAGAGAAAAGGTAAAATGATGAACTGGTGCAAAAGTTCAACCAAAAAGAACTGATTCTGACTTGGTCTCAGACACATCGATTGGTTGTCTGCTTTGTTTGGCTAACGGATTGATAATCATGGACATAGGGAAGATTCAAACCAAAAAATCATGGACATAGGGAAGAATCGAACCAAAAAATTTTCGACATTGCCGACACGATCGTGGACATTGGCTACATAGTTCAATGTCCACGTTTTGTGGACATAAAGGCGCTTCAAAATAAAGAACAGTTAAATCCCGGGCATGGCCGCTCTCAGGTTTCTCTCTGTATAGAGTCTCTAACGGTCTCTAACCTTGTCTTATTACACCATGCCACAGTATCCTATCTGTTGTATTGTATGTATATATGCATGCAAAAATTTTATGTTTTGTACCATTTTGTACGTACAATCGGTTTTAAACGTTTATCAAAGAAAATGTTGAATTGCGCAATCTGTGGTTGTAGTGAATTTTATAAAGTGTCTGGTTTTTCCTATTGTATAACATGTCAAACGCAAAGTCAGGTAAGATTCCTTGCAGATGTATATACACATATGTGAGTACTTTTTGAGAAGAACTGGTAGTACAATTTCAATTTTCATTTGCCTAGGATGTTGGAGAAGAAGTAGAATTAGATCTACCCATAGAAAATACTGGGAAGTTGCGAAAAACAAAAATCCATCGTATGAAACAAAATACAGGTTTATCTTTATATATTTTGAAAGAATAATACATAATGATAACTAAATATATTTTAATTTGACATATTACCAACAAGATACAATTCAAATATTTTCTTCTATAGATGAACTCGGATGGACATCTTGGGAGTTATATAATTTTGTTTTAATTGGTTTGACAAATGAGCTTATTGAGCTTGGTATATCAGCGGATATAAAAATAACAGTGCTTCAATTATGGGCACGATATCTAGGAAAACTAGAAGTAGCTTTTATCTCCACAAAAAAGAAACTGGTACCAAAATTAGCTAAAAATTATAAGAAAAGGTTATTATAAAAATTATTATATATAAACTATTTCTAAATTATCCTATAAAAATATTTATCAACATATTTCTTTTATTTATTTTATTTAGATTTTCTTTATTTCACTTGAAATATTCATAAAAATTAATTATTCACAAACATTTTAAATTAATCCTGTTGTGTATAAAACAATATATTTATAGAGATGCTGACATTATATATGGTAAAGTTTCACAAAAGAACAAAAAACGGAAAAAAACTGGAAGTACCATAGCAAATTCTTCAGATACCTGTCCAAACGAACAAATCTCCATGAGAGAAATAAATAGGAATAAAGTATAACAAACTTAGATAATGTATTATATTTATAAGATCTAATTCTGCAAATTTGTTAATAATGCAATATGTTTTATATATAGAAACTTATGGTTACTGCAGACTATGATAGATTTATAAAGTCACAAACAAGCTCAGAAGAAGATACACTCAGTACATATAATCAAAGTGTATATAGCAGACCGAGTAGCAGACATTCTAGTGTAGGAAAATCTCATCAAAATATAAGGTAAAGAAACAATTGCAAATAAGGTTTAAATTATATAAAAGAATTATGTGATTGCATTCTCTCTATTATCTTCTAATATTTTTACATATTTATACTATATATTACATATATTATATATATACATATGTATTTGAAATATATTACAAATATATATAATTTATACAGGATAAAATTTAATTCATCTGCTAAAGCAGAAAAGTGTAAAATAGAGAATATGGCAAAAAAGATATCAAGCTGCAAACGTAGAAGATACAAACAAAGTCATGTAAGAACTCAGTATAAAACAAGCCCAGAATTAATAACACCTTCCAAATTATTGGCAATCTTGTATCTGGCATTAAGAATTCATAATCAAGATATACATTTAGGTGACATGATAAGGTAATTTATAAATATTTTTTGTAAGTTCTAAGTTTCACAATAATAATAATTATATATATATATATATATATAGAATTATAAATTAATTTATATTATATTAAACACTTTTTATTAATCTTTTTTATGTTGGCTCCATCATACATTGTGTTTGACTTTTTTAATAATTTATACACATATATATTGTGTATTTTTTTCACATGTATAAATTTTTGCAGGTATGGGAAAGAAGGACATTTATCTTATTACCGATTAGATCGCCTGGTACCTCCTGAAATATCTTTAACAAGAAGTGATATAAATTTCTTATCACGAGCTATAGACATAACGCATAAGGGTATGAGAAGAATTATTGGACAAATGGCAAAATTTCTTGGAGTCACGAAAATAGTTTGTCCAGATCTCCTTTCTCTTGTTAACCGATATTGCATTGAATTAGCTCTACCAAGTATGAATACCGTATGAATTTAAAGATCTTTATTGTTGATATATATATATATATATATACACACACACAAACATTTTATTACGATATTTTCAGAAGATATATCATTATATGCGGAAAGATTATTAAGTTTATCTTCTCCGAAAATGACGTTTGAAAAAAAATCTTATATCCCTAATTACGAAGGTCGTGCTATGGCATTTATTATTGTAGTACTGAAAACATTATTGAGTTTGGATGGTATTACAGAAAATGAAATTAGTAATGTTGCCGACAAGATTAATAGGTATGTAACAAAAGGTTTTTTAATGTGATAGCTTTGAATGTACATGTATTGGAATATGCATGTTTGACACAGTATTATCCACTTGATATTGCAAATGCTTCAAGCATTCTTACACTTCATCAATTTGTAAAATTCTTTTTTTTTTTATTGATTAGCGAAGTAGCATTTGCGGCTTTAAATGAATCGCACATATATTCATATATAAATTGTACTTATGCGCATATATAACACTGTAGACATAAAGGGTGTCTTCCATTTAGTGACAAGTATCATTCTATCTTCGTTAAGTCCATGGCACATGATTTTCCTGCTGGACTGCTGGCAATGAATTAGCGATCCGACAGAAAAAAGATATGCGTCGCCAAATTTGACAAGATTCTGCCAAAACTATGAAGGCCATGGTACATAGAAAAATTTTAAATGTAAAACAATAAATAAATCGACTAATCACAGTACAGATCATAAGACCATAAAGTGAGCTAGAGTAAATCCAAATAGAGCGTTGATTTTTTTACTGCTTAAATCTTATGTCTTAAGTATTATTTTTATATGTCAGGGGGCCTTGAGATTCAGCAAAAAAACTTATAGACCGATCTCATCGATTTCGATTAACTTAATCGATCGATTAAGAATCAACCGTGAATGATCAAGTCTGCTGAACAACAAATACGATTAGTCAGTTTCAATGTAATAATCGATCGATTAAGTTAATTGGAATTAGTGAAACCAGCTTTAAAGGATTATTGGTTTCGTTTAGCAAAGGAAATTAATCAATTAGCGCTTAGTAATTCTTTAATATGATTGATTCTCGCTTTTAGTTCTTTGCTGGATCTAATGCCCACAATCAAGCCTTATATTTAAGGCTTCTTTAAATTTATGAATTATTTTATTGATTACTGAGCATCTAAAGATAAATTTAAGGAGTCTTAAGTATAAAATCTGACTGTGAATATAGGCATAAATGTAGGAACATCATATCAAAGAATTACTAAGTGCTAACTGATTAGTTTTCTCTGCTGAACGCAGCCATTTATACTTACCGCAAATTATTATCTTACGCCGTGAGATTTAAGAAATTGACCAATCACAGTCGAATGTGAGGAGAATGAAGTTGATTGTTCTCCTCACATTCGACTGTGAATAGGTTCTTATAGTTATGGTATAAGTTTATAGTATGTATAAATGATCTTCAAGGCAAATAATGATTTTTTTGTGGTCTCTTTTTAAAATTTTTACATTGTTCTATTTTTATTGTTTACCACGAAAATGATTGAAACAGAAACGATAGGGTCTTAATAGAATCTTCTAAGTTCGACATTAATACAGTCTTGGTGCCACACTTGAATACTCATGCGCGAAAAGATGACTCGCCTAACAACATATTACCATACAAATAGTTGGTTATATTTATCTGTCAAATAATCTATCAAATTATCTGTATTAAATTAATAGAAATAGTATATAGACTTGATGTAAAAATTAGTTTTATCTACTAATTTAATATTTAAATATATATAATTATTTATTATATATATATAATTATTTATAATGCAGTGTCAATGTGAAAATTTCAATACTCCATGTATATTTGTACATGGTGATGTTGGAAATTTTCATGATTCGATAATTATTGAAAAAACAATGAGTTGTAAAAATGCAGCATCTATTGGATATCAAAGTTTGTTAAATGGTGCAAATTCTGTACAAGCTGTAGAAAATGCATTATGGTGGTTAGAATGTGATGAATTCTTTAATTGTGGTTATGGATCGGTTTTAAATAATATAGGTATAATAATAATAACACAAAATTAATTGTACGTTAAAATATGTAGAACAAAAAATTATTTGCTTATCATGTCGGATAAAATAGGAGAGGTACAAATGGATGCAAGCATAGTAAATGGTTTCAAATCTGAATGTGGATCTGTAGCTGCAATATCAGACATAGAGCATCCAATATCTCTTGCTAAATATGTTTTGGATAATTTTCCCAACTCTATCATAGTAGGAGAAGGTGCAAAAGAATTAACAAGATATGCAAAATTAAACTGCTTATCGAAAGGAAATATGACAGCACCTATGGCACATTTAGCTTACAATAAATCGCGAGAAACAGGCAGTTCTGATATTACTTTGGATATTGAAGATCGCCAATTATTAGAAGTATTAGGAAGTAAATTGTAGATGCGAAATTTCAGAAAATATTATTTCATATTTCTTCTAGTCTTGTAAGGAAAATATATTACCGATACACATATGATTTTGATATAATTTTTATCTATATAGATAGCGGGAGCACCGTTGGTTGTATAGCTTATGATGGCTATAGTATCGCTGCAGGTGTTACGAGTGGCGGTTTAAACAAAAAATTAATGGGTAGCGTAGGCGACTCTTCTGTGTTAGGTTGCAGCACATATGCTAATCGAAATGTAGGATGTTCTCTAACAGGTCATGGAGAGTCTATTATGAAACTTGGTTTATCAAGAATTATTGCGAGCGATATTGAAGAAGGATGCTCCTTGCGAAAAGCTTTGAAGAAAAATCTAGATTATATGTCAACTAAATATAATCAAACTTTTGGGGGTGTTGTATTTGAAAAATCTGGGGAATGGGATATATATTTTACCTCGCATAAAATGCCATACACTGTAATTATGAATGACTGTGTAACTTTCGGCGCAGCTTTAGGTGAAAGAAACGTAAAAAAATATTTTGAATGTCGAAAACGTCTTCCATGCAATTGCAGCTATCCTTTTGTAAATAATATTACGTTGAAATTTGATTTTTCTTGTACAATTTTACATTATTATTATGTATACTATATTATTTATTCTTTATTGATATAATATATCTCTTTTTTTTTCAGTGCAATTAACGATGAAGGTATCTGTGATACAAAACTATTCAGTTTTCGGGAATGGCAGAAGTATATTGAATGTAGAAGAACAATCTTAATTAATGCGCACTACCCTACCAAGTTAAAGTACAATCCAAACATACCGGATGTTAATAATTTATATATTAAATTTTTGGAGTCTATGAATTCTAAAATAGATAGAGAGGAACATGAGATAATTACGCGTAAGCATTTCATGCCAAATGAACTTATTTACGCAATGAAACATTGCGTTATGAATACAAGATACATTGATTTGCCATTGAATGAGGTAAATTATTTTTCTCCAACATTAACGCCAAATCATTCGTATCTTCAACAATTATTGGAGCATCCATTATATGATCTTCCAAGTATGCTCCGAAATGACTTTTCATCTGCAAAAGTTGAATACTTGACAAAATCAGAATCGTAAGTAATATTGTGAAACTTAGACCTTACCGATCGCGTAAAATACATATGAGTAATAATTATCTTTTTTTTTTATCATTTTAGTATCTACAATTTGACTTCACAATACGATATTCAATTAGATTCCATTGATTCAAATTTGCATTTTATTGAAAAAACAGTATCACTTTTCGAGCAAACAAAAATTGCCAGTATAAAAGATTTGAAAAGCGAAATTGTGATAGAAAATTTTATGGAAAGTAATACGGAATGTCTAGAGAGAAAAGAAAATTTTATTGATTATCTACATAAGGAGATACCCTGTCGATTTAAAATTGATGTAAAAAAGAAGCAGTATTATGACGATGCAATAATAGATATGAAAGTACCTCCGTTAGCGTCTGCATTAACCAATGAATTTATATTTAATGAGATTCTTCCAGATGGTAAATTATCAATCCCAAGTAGATGTTCAGAGGATGACGAAAGCAAGGATGATAATGCATATCTAAAAAATAATGATTCTCCACAAACAAAATTAATCAAGTTTTGTAAATCATACAATACAAATCTCTCAAGTACGGAAAGAAAAGCTGTATTAGAAAATTTAAATCTACCAAGGAAGCAAAAGCGCAAATTAATGCGAGATTTGTTTGGTAAATTTGTTAAGCAAACTGATACATGTCTCAATACGGAAAGAAAGAGTCCAAATAAAGATGATAATTATATGAAGGAAACTGAAATTATTTCAACAAACATTTCTGAAATTGAAAATATACTACCAGAGATGTCCAATATATTAAATTTTAGTGTTAACGCATCTATCTTTGATAATTTTATCAACTTTGAAAATGAATACCTGGATGATCCATCAGAGAAAAAAACTTATAGTAAAATATTTGAATCGATTATCGATGAATCTGTTACGGATAAAAGACGGAATAATAATATTCTTAGATTGTTTAGACCGTTTAAAGATTATTGGATGTATCACTGTAATTTTAGCCGTGTGAAGCCAAAAAATTTTGAATTACTCGAGAAAATGCTGCCAAGAAGTTTTCGATGGTTACTGAATGAATGCGCGAGCTACATTGAAATATCAACGGAAGACTTGTATGAGGAAGTGTGTCTCATCGAAGCTTATTATGCATACGTTTTGCAGGAATCTAAGATTTATTCGCATGTAACAGATAAAAGTGAAAATTGCACAAATCAAGCATATATCAATGCAATTTTGAAGAAATGGTAAAGCGAAATAATGAAGAACATTGTTATGTATGTCAAATATTTAACTGTATACGATTTTTAACTTATGGTATTGCATTTATGTTGATATCAAATTTTTTACTCGTAGTGCTAATTTCTTTCACAGATAAAAAGTGCTGTAAATAAAAAAAGCGATTTTTTTTCTTTCCTTTTAATTCAATAAATGAGATTTCTCTTACTCAATTCTGGAATTTTTGATGACTACTGTATTTTTAATTCAAACCTACAAATTTTAATGGAAAACGTTATTGGAATATATTATAATTAGATATGTTTATATACTTGTCACATTCTGAATGTACAAAAATATTAATTATATTTCTATATGTATATATTCATATTTTTTCTCTACATTTTTTTTCCTGTCACTATTTTTTTTAAGTAAATTTTACAGAAAAATGTACAAAAAAAAATCATTAATGTATATTTTTAATAAAAAGAAATTATTAATAAAGTATGTGTGTACGTGTAACTCTTGCGGACGTGTGCGTACTGTGTAATTGTATGAAAAGTATGTGAAGGAGTCTACAGTTTCAAAGTTTTTTTTAATTTCTATGTCATAATTCCCATAATAAAATAATTACGATTAAATAAGAAGAAAGATAAATTATACTTTTTTAAAATAATTACGGATTCGATATAAAAAAATTCAAAAGTATATATATATATATATTTATACATCACTATAAACTTTAATTTTAATTAGTATTACAATGTAATACTTATATACGAATATTGATTTATCTTTTTGTATGACGATTTTTTATAAAATACATAAAATATTTGGATATACATATTACAATAAAAGACGTAAAATTAAATATTTCAACTTCAATTTGGAGTAAATTTTAGCTTGTACACTTAATTAAATAAAATTATATATTTCTCGAATTTATATAACAAAATTGTAAAAAAATTGCTTCTACATGAATTCCTTTATCATCTTTATTATTTATGTATACAATTTGATGCGCCCTAGCATTACAGAAAAAAAAAAAAAAAAATTAAAATAGCATAGACTCGCGCAGTTGTCGAACACAACTGTTGCACTTGGTTCCGAGGATTTCCTCGGGTTTTACTTGGCCTGCCGCGCTCGCACCATGGCATCGTGTAATCGTGTCTCGTTTCATCGTGTTAATTCGTGGGGGCGATGCGATGCCAAGAACTCAAGGCGACTGGCATTCGCCGGCGAGGGCGAGAGATGCGGCGAGACAACGCGGATGAGACGCGACGTGATCGGCGATGCGTGTAACACCTCGGCTCGATTCGGTTCGGCGTGCTCGAGCTCGGTAAGCTCGGGCAAGCTCGAACGGCGCGGTGGTGCGAGTCGCGAGGTGCGCCGTAGTGCCGTGTAGTGTGCGAGTACTCGCTTCGGTCTTCAGTAGTAAACACCAATCGGTGCAGGACAGAGCGGTGCAGAACGGTGTTGGATATCGCCGCGTTACCACGGTGTTTGGCGACCCGGCGTGTTGCGCACGGAAAGGAGCGCGGGTGCGCGTGCCGCACGCATCGTTTCCTAAAAGAAATCATCTGTGGTCGCACCCGAGGGCAAAAGGATCAGCGGGGATTTGTACTCCGGAGGCGCGGACAGACCTCGTCTGCATCACGGCGACGCGGAGTCATCGACACCGCGACGAGTTACTGGACGTAGCGTCTAACGTGTAATCGCGTCGCACCTGACGCGTGCGTCCCGAGGGAGAGGGTCCAAGTACCTGTGCGTACACGACGACGTAGTCGACTAGTCTCGCGATCGCACCCTCGATCGTGATCCGCCACCGTCAACGTCACCACCAGCACCACCAGCAGGATCCTTACGGGTGAGTTACCTCAGTGAATTTCTCTGTACTCTCGATCTCAGAATTATTTCCGCTGGTTCGCGCGGGTTACAGCGACGACGACGACGGTGACGGCCAGCCAGCCGCGTTTAACCCAGATATACGCGGCTGGGAAGGTCGCAGCCAGAGGCATCCTTCCTCTTCAGTCGCTCAAAGTGCTTCTTTTACGTTACGAGGGTAACGCAATGTTTTTCCCGCCAATCGCACTACTCCATTTATAACGGCTAATACAAAAATTGTGACTTAATTTTCACTGATCTTTTTACGGGACATGAATTACCAGTATCGTGTCTCGTCCCCCCCGTCTCTCTTCCACGCTTAACGTTTTAAAAATGTAAACGTATTTTTTTTTTTTTTTACATCAAATATGTAAATATCTACATTTTCTTATTTTTGTAAATCGACAAATGTATATATGCAACCTTGGTGTACTTTTGAGCATTCCAAAAACACATACTGTTTAGAGAGGGAGGGGGAGAGGAAAAAGAGAGAGAGAGGGAGGGACGAATGGTGTTTATAGTATATATAATAGTTTTTATCGTTCTCAAAAAATTAGCACGTTCCGATTAGTGATAATTGTGAAAGTACCACAATGAAAGTACCGACCAAATGTTGGAAATACCATATCGAACCGGTACGCATGTAACGCACGTGTGCGTCTGTGAAGAATGGCGCGGAAACATTTTCCTGAAATTTCCGGAGCTCCTGCACGGCATATTGTGCACCTGCCACATTCGAGTTCGTTACATTGATCGCCGACAGAGATAATGAATTTATATATTTCTCGTACAACCTGCTCAAGTTGACGATCGAGACGCACACGAGTGCGTTCGCAATCTTGATCAATTGAAAGATCAATTCGTTTTTCTTTTTTAGGAAATTTTTGTATAAGGAAAAGTCGTGTAGTACCGATCGCTCTAAGTTTTTGTAGAATAACTTGAGCTAGACTTATGAAAATTAAAAAAAAAAAAACAGTTATTTGGAATTCAAATACTTAATAAAAGGCCGGAAATTACTTTTCCTAACATTGGATACAAAGATTGTTAATTGGCGAAAAAGAAAAGGTATTAGAATTTGAGATTGGGGTAAAATTGTCGTATATATTATACATATATAAACGGTCAGCTATAAATTCAGTAGGTTTTTAGGTGAACATGACTAATAATATAGCGAAAAATTATTTTTAAATTCTTATTAAAAAAGTATTGTAAATTATTAAGATTTACATATGAAATATTTAGTGTGTTTTCCTTGTAAACTGTATAACGTTAAAAAAATTACGAACACACTTACGTATATACGTAAGTTAAAATACAATGTATTTTTTTAGGAAAAAATGTTTAAGCTAAACTGGAAGAGAATAATTTGAGAACTGGACGGCTGATATCGTTCTAATCTGAAAGCTGAAAGATATATTGCGAGAAATGGAAAGGAGAGTTTTCCAGAAAATTGCGAATATCGTATTGTAACAAATGTGAAGTCGGATATTTCATATAATACATACCACATACACACGCAATTTTACATAATACGCGTTATTTACTGCAACATTTGTTGCATTTTAAGCACGGACCCTGTTATCGAAACGGTAGCTGCGATCGTCGAGGGTCAGTGGGTTGCCAACACCTCGTTGCTTGGTAAATAAGCCCTTCCGATTACGCCTTCATCATTTGCTTGCCAAACACTTTTATGATAGAAACGGTATCGCGATAATACGTCATCACCGAAATCAGACTAACTATGACCTAACCATACGGGGCTGGTTTGCGTATATTTTGCACTTGATTGTTGTCGATCCATCAGCGGAAGTTGTGTTGTGTGTGTGATAAAGGAAAATAATTATTTTATTTCCTGACGCAGCAAGATTCATTGATTTGGTCAAAAACATATTTTGAGATGTTTATACGTCTATGTATGTCTATACATACACATAAATATCGATGTTGGTCGAAGTGTCGTATATCCGTTCCTTTTTCCTGGGCCCAAAGACCCTGTATTCACCACATCTATTGAACTCTACATAAATATACATATTACTGCGCGAATAAAATTTAAAGCGCGTTTGCATCGATACTGTTATGTAAAAGAAAATTTTATGTAAACAAAATATAATATACAAAAAAAAGTTACGTAAAAGAAAATAGTGTAATGTAAATAAAATATATAAAGACGTGAGACAATTTAAATAAAGAGTATCTCAAGCAAAAAAAATTGATAAGAGAGAAAGAACCGTCTTTTGAACGTCCTTTTGTGCTTTGCTTCTGCGGTGTAATGCAAAAGCAAGAGTTGCATCCTATTGATGCATTTCATCGATATCCTGCAATCAAAGTGAATCGAAAGGTGAAATGCTAATCGTGTTAACGCATAATTAATTATCTATTGATTTTGCGGCAGAATTTTTCAGTGTTGCGAAATGATAACAGATAATTGTAAATTATAGTAATTAGTCTGTAATGGTTAACATTCGTTTGTCGTGTTTATCGCTTTTATTTTATAGGAGGATAACAACAATAATATTACCGATTGATATTCTAGTATCATTGTCCGTTGCAACTAGGGCAGTTCATTGTTAGAGGATTGATTCGGGATTAATTTTAAATCCCCGTGAACTCGACTCTGGTATCTGACGTAAAAATAGAAGTTAATCGAATCTTGAAAGCGTCGAATCGAATCAAATAAGATATCATACAATTGTACCTGTAATCACTTTTAAAGACCGAAAGAGAAGGAGGAAGAGAAGGAAGGTTCCCTACGCTCTATCAATTAAGAATTCCTTGCAAATGTACTTAATTAATTTTATGGCGTACCATTCCTAGAACCATAACAGAAATGCTGACGGAAGTATCAAGTACATGGTACATTACCGAAACGTTAGGCAGTAAGACATAAGCAGTAAACGAATTGGCCAATCACAGTAGAGATGTAAGATCAGTAGCGAATTCAATGTTATGATTTCCTTACTGTTTACGTCTTACTGCCTTACGTTTTTGTATGTGCTATGGGCTTTATTGTGGAAAATATTAGCGACACGTGACTTCCTCTACTAGGTCTTCTCGTATACACACGCTCACATTGTATTAAAGGTGGCACCTGCTTTCGATTCTGGACTTTGATAATCTAAACACGATATGCTCTGTGTTTATTGCAC